TATGTATATATATATATACATATTATATATATACATACATTATATATATATATACAATATGTATATATATAATATGTATATATATATACATATTATATATATACATACTATATATACAATATGTATATATATATATATATACATATTATATATATACATACATTATATATATATATATATCGAACCAACGCGGGCAACCCAAGGTGAAGCCTAGTTGGGTCCAGCATAACCAACTCCTGGGAGACTAAGAAAAATATCACTGGACATGAGGCCCATTCCCTTGGTTTAGAACCTCAATTTCCATGGGTTTTCAAAGTTTGAACCTTCATTTTATAGGGGATTTCCATGGATTTCCCATGAAAAAGCATCAATTTGTAGGTGGTTTTCCCATCATTTTCCCCATTGAAACCACGGCATCTCTGGGCTTTGGGCATCTCCATGGACTATCCCATGCGACTATCCGTCTAGGAATGGCTGGTGCTGAAACTCCGCGAACCGCGGAGATGCGGAAATGCCAAATGTCATGGTTATTTCATGGAAAAATTGCCAAATGACATGCAAAATCTTCCATGTATTTAAGCCAAGTGTCTTTAATAAGTATTTGCCATGTATTTTCGACTTTTGCGAAATTCAACTGATCCGAATCTTTGGGCAAAGATTCCGGCACCCAAGGCTGATATCACCGGCGGCCAAGCTCGCCCTTCACCATGAATTTCTGGGTCTGTACCGATACGATGCCAAGAAAAAGGGATATAGACTATATGGATGTACGTTCATATTATGTGCATTTCATAGAAAGAGAGAGAGAGAGAAAAGAAAAAGAAATCATCTTATATATATTGAAATATATTACTTTTGTGTAATCGTATATTATATACATGTATTAACCATATTCTTCATATGCATGCATATATATATATACAATTATATACACATATTATATTACATTACATACTTATATTATATATATATTATACATATAATTATGCATTTATACACATAATTTGATCAATGTACACATATCATATAGTGTATACATATTGTGTATATATACATATACGTATACATAAGTAATCATAAGTATTAACATAGAACCAGCAACAGGGGTTGGCAATGGTTGGCACATGCGGCCTCGGGAAATGGGACACAGCCACTTCCCATTCCGACGCCCAGCGGCAAATTCGTGTTTGAAGCTCAGCCAACTTGGTAAGGGTTCCCCGGACTGAAGGCTGGCCTGTGCGAAACGGCGAAGTTCCCAGCAATGGGGGGTCAGTACCCCAAGTCAGAGCTGGGATCTCTGGATGTCAAAATTCCCCCAGGTAAATTCATAGGTACCCTCTGGTAAACAAACATAACTATATGGAAAATCACCATTTTTCATGGGTAAATTCACTATAAATGGGTCATTTTCAATAGCTATGTGAGTAAATTCATAGGTAACTTGACCCATCCCCTGAAAATCAAAGAACAAGTGGCCATTTGCTTCCGGCCTCGAAATGGATCTTGCCGCCTCTCTGGGAGACCTTCCTGTGAAAGCTGCTGATGGCCAGGGTCTTCGGAAGCACATGCTCCTCGGTGAAACCATGGGAAACCCATGGGAAAACCATGGGAAAACCATGGGAAAACCATGGGAAAACCATGGATCTCACAGTTTTGAAGCAAATGTCCATAGATTTAACCTGGTTTCACGATGCGAAATTGTGACCGCCAGGGATCCATCTTCCCCAACCAAGGTTTACTCTTGAATCTCTTTACTTTCCGGGGCAAAAAAAATGGGGAAGTTCTTCTTGGGTGGGCTGGTAACATCCATTTGTATCTTGTGAAATCATAGGGTTGAAGATGGTTTGAGCCCATTTCTGATGGGTGACATTCCCATTTTGATTGGTTGAACAACCGTTTCTGCTGCTTCTTGAACAGGACACCGAAAAACTCAAGCAGGGATGGTTAATGGTGACTGATTGAATACCCTCCGGTTATTGAACATAGCTATGGAATAGATGAACCATTCATAGATGATAAACATGTTGATTTACCTTAGGTTTACCTATCAAAAACGGTGATTTTCCAGTTCGCATATCGTTAAACCACAATGTAAATCTCATTAAATCATATTAAATCCCCATTTTCTTGGGTAAATCCCATTAAACCACCATGAAACCACCACTAAATCACCATGAAACCCCATGAAAATCCATTAAACCACCATTAAACCACCACTAAATCACCATGAACCCCCATTAAATCCCATTAAACCACCATTAAACCCCATTAACCCACCATGAAATCCAATTCAACCACCATGAAACCCCATGAACTCATTGTGATAACACCATCCAAACATCACAAAAGATCCACGCCAAACCGCGTCCGTTAACCGAACCCAGGGACGAATTGCACCTTCAGTGGCACGGTGACCTTGGGAAACTGCACATGGAGGTTGTCCGGAGGTGTCCTTGGCGAGATCTCACGACGGGAAGCATGGGGAAATCTCATGAAAAATATAACTTGTTGGTGGTTTTAACCCCTCTGAAAAATATGAGTTCGTCAATGGGAAGGATGACATCCCATATATTATGGAAAATAATCCAAATTGAAAACACCAACCAGATGATTTATACATATATAAACTATAATATTAACCCATATAACACATGATAAGCCAAGATGAGCCATGGGGAAATGATGGGGATCTTAACAAACCAAGATGAATTGTTTGTGGAGTTGTGGAGCCATGGAGCTGTAAAACCCCAATCATTTTGCACCGTGAATCTATTTTTCTGCCTTGCAATTGACAACGACCACCACAACAAGAAGAACAAAACAAGAACAGGCGGTTTCACCAACAACAATGGGGATTTATTAGGGATTTATTAGGGATATTTCACCAACAAGAACAAGAAGGACAAGAAGAACTATAAGAACGACAAGAACGAGAGAAACAAGAAAAAAACACAGAAAACATCTGCAAACGCACATGTTTTAAAAGCACGATGCAACAACATCGGAAAAACATGGGGAAAAAACGGCCCCAAATCTCCAATACAAAAAACGCTTGGAGATGGGACCAGCGTGACCACCCCGAACTGAGACCCAAAGATCAAAGTTGGGGTCTCAAATTTGTCAGAGCCTCTGCCATCAATGTCTACATAAATTTCACAAATTTCTGGTGTCCCAATAAAGGCAAAATGTTCCAACTTCTACAAGCTAGCGTTTCAAGCACCAAATTCGGGTTATTCCAAGTCTGTGTCAGATGTCTGGGATGGTATCACACTATACTATCCCCAGTCGTAGGTTGGTTTATGAAACATCCTACTGTAGATATCTACCATAAACCATAGTTGGGCTAGTTATAAACCAACTTTCCTCTGATCCTCTAGTCGAATCATCTTGAACCCAAGTAAATGGACATATATATATATTATAAATAATACAATATTAAACAAGTCAAAAATCTATCAACATATAATGAGGGTTTCCCAAAATATGGCTACCCCAAATCATTGGTGTTCCCATTTACAACCAAGGCTCGCTGCGTCCTTCTCTGGAGGCACCTGAGAAGGGGGATCAGGAAAAATTTCACCAGCAACACTGGGATTAAACCGACCTTTTTAGAAAAAAAACATGGTGACATATATAATAGATAGAGAGAGAGAGAGATATAGATAGATAGAAAGAAAGATAGATAGATAGATAGATAGATACATAGATAGATAGAGAGAGATAGATAGATAGACAGATTGATAGATAGATAGATAGATAGACAGGGAGAGAGAGAGAGAGAGATAGATAGATAGATAGCTAGCTAGAGAGAGAGAGAGATAGATAGATAGATAGATAGAAGGATGGATAGATAGAAGGATGGATAGATAGATAGATAGATAGATAGATAGATAGATAGATAGATAGATAGATAGATAGATAGATAGATAGATAGATAGATAGATAGATAGATAGGTAGATAGGTAGATAGGTAGATAGGTAGATAGGTAGATAGATAGAGAGATAGAGAGATAGAGAGATAGAGAGATAGACAGATAGATAAATAGATAGATAGATAGATAGAGAGGGAGGGAGATAGATAGATAGATAGATAGATAGATAGATAGATAGATGGATAGATAGATAGATAGATAGATAGGTAGATAGATAGATAGGTAGATAGATAGATAGATACATTATGTATATATATATATATATATCTGTATATATATATATATATATATCTGTATATATATATATCTGTATATATATATATATCTGTATATATATATATATTTATGTATATATATATATATATCTGTATATATATGTATATATCTGTATATATATTTATGTATATATATATATATCTGTATATATATATATATATGTGTGTATAATGTGGATATATATAATATATAGCCAACACAATGACTTGGTGGTGAAATGAGAATTTGCCATCAATGCACTTGATGAATTGACTTGTGAGACTTGCTGGTGGACCATGTTGGGAAAATTCAGGTTTCAATCTATCAGATGGAAACAAAATGGTTAAATGAATGGTTAATCAGAAAAATCATGTGGATGGTTAATGGTTAATAATGGTTAATCTATTAATGGTTAATCTATTGTGGTTAATGGATGGTTAATGGTTAATGCTTAATGTGGATGGTTAATCTATTAATGGTTAATGGTTTACTTTCAGAAAACCATCCGTTCAACCAACCCAAAAAACATGTGGATGATGTGGATGGACCTGCACTGAAATGTTGCTCGTTTGTCATCAGTACTTCTTGGGGTTATGATTGAACCAGCAACACGTGGGATTTAAGTGATTGCACACCCCGGCAATGATTCGTGGACAAACTGTGCACTTGCAAATCATGTCCCGATTTGCAGAGAACTCCGGATATCCCCCACGTTGGATCAGAGAATATCCACATATATATCCACTACAAAAGTCTCCAAGACTGATCCAACTCCACAAATATATGGGCCTATGGTTTGGTCATTTACCCCAAGAATTACGCGAATGAAGCGAACGTACACCAAACATCGACGAATGGATAGTTCATGATAGTTCCCATTCGTATCACTGACACCGTTTGCCCCTTCAGTAATTAAACCCTTCAATCGGAAATTTGCTCGGAAATTTGACGGATAAGCAAACCATCTACAACCATTGACATTGGATTGTCCATGGCGAGTTTTGCTCTCAAGAGGGTACCGCAAGACTCTCCCAAGTGGTAGATGATATCCCCCAAAACCCATGGCATAGCATAGCCGACAAACATCATCCTCTCTTCCCGTGATGCACTCTGACGATTGTGCAAAGCTTCCGGCTAATTATGGGATTTACGACTATGGCTCAAAAATGGAGCATTAATAAACCCATAAATAATTATCAGTATTTCACTCCCCAAAAGGGGTATAGTCTAGTTAGTTTTGAGCCATGCCCACAATGATTCCTGAATAAACAATTTCACTCCGTTTGAATTGCTGCCATGGCACAGTCGCAAGGGGAACTGCCGGGACAGTTGAACCGGCATCCGAACCAGCGCCTGCTCCTGCTGATTCTCCATTGCCGTCAGCATCAGAACCACTACCTGCTCCTGCATCGGAACCAGTGGCTGCTCCTGCCGATCCTCCCTTGCCGCCAGCGTCGGAATCAGCGCCTCCTGCTGATCCTACATTGCCATCACCATCTGAACCAGCGCCTGCTCCTGCATCGGTATCAGCACCTGCTCCTGCCGATCCTCCCTTGCCGCCAGCGTCGGAACCAGCGCCTCCTGCTGATCCTACATTGCCATCACCATCTGAACCGGCGCCTGCTCCTGCATCGGTATCAGCGCCTGCTCCTGCTGATCCTCCATTGCCGCCAGCATCGGAACCAGCACCTACTCCTGCTGATTCTCCGTTGCCACCATCCGAAGTACCTGACCCACTTGATCCACTTCCTCGCAACCCACTTTGGCCTTTGGTCTCAGTTCCGCCAGAGGTGGAACTTCCATCCCCTGTCGGTGCCATGGTTGCCACCGGTGCCACGGTTGCCACTGGTGCCACGGTCGCCACCGGTGCCACGGTTGCCACCGGCGCAACTGTTGCCACCGGCGCAGGCGCCGTGCCTTCGGTGGCCGAGCCCTCCAAAGGCTCAGGATGACCCACACCAGGACTGGCACCAACGCCTAGCCCTCCTTCGGCTGTCCTTGGAGCCGGTCGAGTGGCACTGGGGAAACCAAAATTACCAGTGGCGATGGATTATGTGGCGAAATTCGTGTGGAGCAATCCGAAGTGAAAAAACATGTTACTGAAAAAATATGAAAAAGTGTTAATTTTTTTGTTCGGATCTTTTCGCGCGTCACTAGACATGGCAAACAAATATATGGAAAGCTAATGGGTCATGAACGGGGTTCTGTCATGTTCTGTCATCATTGCGGGCCTCCAGGACCAGAGGTCCCATGCGATTTCCTCCACTAACATCAGCAAAAATGGGAAGGTCCCTGGCACTCCCAACTAATCTGTCACCACAATTTCAAGTATGTTGTTGTTTTCTACCGGACGACCCAGTTATCAGTTGGTATTGGTTTCACGCCAATTCTTGGTGTTAAAGTCCCCAATTGTGTGGCAAAACTGTACGTGAAAACTAGACGACAGATGGCCCGAGAGCGTAGAGGAGCAGAGTCTTCTGTTGTTAGTATGGAGACACTATATTACAAGACAATATATTAAAGATGTATTATAGGCAGACGAGAAGAATAGTATCAAGACAATATATCACGAACACAAGACCAAAGTTTGCATCGTAAATTTCGTATAGTTTTTCACACGCAGAGACTTTTTACAAACAGACGCTTTTGCACACAGACATTTTTACACACAAACGCTTTTACACACAGACACTTTTACACACAGACGCTTTTACACACAGACACTTTTACACACAGACGTTTGACACAAAGAGGCTTTTACACACAGAAGCTTGCACACACACAGAGGCTTTTACACACAGAAGTTTTTACATACACAGAATTTTACACACAGAAGCTTTTACACGCAGACCCTGTTACACATAGAGACTTTTACACACACACACCACACACAGCTAGGCTTTAACACAGAAGCTTTACACACAAGGCTATTACCCCACAGACCGTTACACGCAGCACTTTCAACCAGACCACTTGAACCAAACACTTTACCACAGAGACTTGTACACAACAACGGTTTAACACAGACGCTTTTACCACACAGACGCTTTTACACACAGACGCTTTTACACAGAGACGCTTTTACACACAGACGCTTTTTACACACAGACGCTTTTAACACACAGACGCTTTTAACACACAGACGCTTTTAACACACAGACGCTTTTAACACACAGACGCTTTTAACACACAGACGCTTTTAACACACAGACGCTTTTTACACACAGACGCTTTTTACACACAGACGCTTTTTACACACAGACGCTTTTTACACACAGACGCTTTTACACACAGACACTTTTACACAAAGACACTTTTACACACAGACGCTTTAACACACAGACACTTTTACACACACACACACACTTTGACACATAGAGGCTTTTACACACAGAAGCTTTCACACACAGAAGCTTTTACAGCTAGAAGCTTTCGCACACAGAAGCTTTTACGCGCAAACACTTTCACACACAGAGACCGAACCCATGACATCGCAATTTTAACTCAATTTTTGGCGATCGAACTTCATTTCGTGCGAAAGGGTTGCGCCCGGATACTTACAAATCGCAATATTACTACAGTTTTTGGCGATCGAACCTCATTTCGTGCGAAAGGGTTGCGCCGGACGCTTTGCAAATCGCAATTTTATTTCAGTTTTTGGCGATCGAACCTCATTTCGTGCGAAAGGGTTGCGCCGGACACTTACAAATTGCAATTTTATTTCAGTTTTTGGCGATCGAACCTCATTTCGTGCGAAAGGGTTGCGCCGGACGCTTTGCAAATCGCAATTTTACTTCAGTTTTCGGCGATCGAACCTCATTTCGTGCGAAAGGGTTGCATTTCGTGGCGTCTCGTTGGCACTGCCCCGCGCCTTCAAGAGAGAAATAGAAAAGAAGGAGGGAGCAAGAGGGCAAGAGAGCAAGAGAGCAAGAGAGAATGTGAAGATGTGAAGATGAGAAGATGTGAAGATGCACAGATGTGAAGATGTGAGGATGTGAAGATGAGAAGATGGAAAGATATGTGAAGATGAGAAGATGTGAAGATGAGAAGATGTGAAGATGAGAGGATGTCTCACAGACCCCCACTATTAGAAGAACCCTGCGCTCAGACGCTCTCGGGAAAAACACACACTTTAATTTGCGTGATCACCCCTTTCTCATAATATGTATATATAGTTTTATTATATATATATATATTATATATATATACATATTATATATATATATATATATATATTAAATATATATATATATGTTTACAGTCGATCTGACATCTTATCTGACATATATTCTAACATACTATCTGACATTCTATAATAGTCTATATTCTGACATACTATCTGACATTCTATCTGACATTTTACCTAGCATTCAGTCTGACGTTCTATCTGACATATTCTGGCATTCTATCTGGCATTCCTATCTGACATAAAGTCTGGCAGTGTGGCATTTTACCTTACATATTTTCTGACATTCGATCTGGCATTCTACCTGGCATGTCATCTAACATTTTACCTGGCGTTTTACCTCACATTCTATCTGACATATTTTCTGACATTGCATCTGGCATTCTATCTGGTATTTGGCATTCTATCTGCCATGTATTCTGGCATTCTAGCTGGCCTTCTATCTGACACTTGATCTGACATATTTTCTGACATTCTATCTGGCATTCTTTCTGGTAAGGTTCGTGGTAGGGTTCGGGTCCGGCGCGCCCCGGAGAGCTCGCAAGCTCGCTATAGAGTGGCTATGTAGAGGGGGCTGGAATGGCAAACAATCATGTTGCGGTGTGTGGGTGGTGGCTGGGTTGGTGGGTGGGTTGGTTGGTTGGCTCGCTGTTTTTTTGCGAAGTCTTGTTAAAATCTAGAGACCCTCACCTGGCAGATGGGGACAAGAAAACATACAAAAACTACATGTTGGAATTTCTGACGGTCACCATAGAAGTGCCAGTCACAGCAAACTAACATCACTGGGATTGCATTATTTATGCAGAAAGAAAACATGGACTCATGACTCATTGGTTTTTGTTGGACTTGAAATGAAGTATGGTTTACCACAAATAGAACATAAAATGAGATTGAACATGGGACTTGAAATACCACATGTTACTCATGTTTTTGTTGGACTTGAACATGGGATTGAATGTGCTCTTTTCATTTTAAACACTGGACTGCCCTTCGAACTAGCATAGACACTGCCAGTTGTAGGGATGGGAAGACTATGGAAGACTAATGTGGTTAAAACAATAATAAACCATCCCCCAAAACACCATTTCTATAGGTGGTATAGACCATTCCCAAATGGGTGGTTTATGGCATTGGTTTACCCACATTAATTAGTCACCTTTATTCACCATTAATCATCCATTAATCACCCAGCACTATTCACCATTATCCATTGGTTGTCTATTGGTTAACCTCAATTGGTTTGCTATATTGTTTTAGCCACATTAGTTTAGATGATGATTGGTAATCCATTCATCCATTAGTGCATTACTAATGATCATCTATTAATCCATTAGTAATGCTGGGATGATTAGTAGATGGGGGGTTCTATTACTGTATCCCATGAATATCTCATGAATATCCCATTACTATCCCATTACTATATGTATGGGTAAATTATAATATTTCACTAACCTGAATAGTTAGGCCATTTGGGGATGATTTCCCTATAAAAACCATGATTCCAGGGTTCGGGAGAACAGGGTTCGGTCGTTATAAATTACCCAAACATAGCTATTTAAAATGGTGATTTTCCATAGCTATGTTAGTTTACCAGAGGGTATCATCCTATTATCATCACACTATTGACCCACTATGAATCCATCCATGGTTTATAGCTAGGAACATCATCAAACTCAGAGGATTTTCCAGCAAACCATGTGTGATTTCCAGCAAACCATCTTATTATTAGTGATGGTAAATCTCCATTAATCACAGCTGATAATCATTGATTATCACTATTAACCACTATTAACCACTAGGAAAACCATAGGGAAACCATGAGGCGGAAGTTTTGATCCCATAGATATAGACATAGATATAGATATATAATTATATCATATTATATATATATCACTAGGAAAACCATAGGGAAACCATAGGAAAACCATATGGATAGTCATATTATTATTATTCAATAACTTCTCTCGAGGACTTCCCATTTCCGAAAAA